ATGAGCAGATCTGTTTTGGATCGTGCTGCATGACTGTTGTTCAGTGCGTTGACGATAAGTAAATGTGTGGTCCTTAGGCAGGGCAGCTTTAATTGTGTGTTTTGTAATATATTAGAATGCCACTCCACTACTTTGTTTTGTATTAATTATTGAACTTAGTTGTATGGTTTGAAACAAATGGTTTGTAAACTATGTTATTGTAAGACTTCCGCTGTTTTTACTCTGATGTATCTATTTGAATAAACTATTGTAATATCTCGCAATGACTCGTAATGTGATCCTACTCGAGAAATCGTGGATGATTCGGGGTTCCCGAGGACACCCGGCAGCCTTCTTAAGTTACCGGAACGTATGCATAGTGTCAAAGGTCGTTGGACAAAGGATGCAGTGCATGTGTGCCCTATAATTTAGGAGGTTCTGCCACAGTCGATTAGATATGTGTTCTGGACCTTTCAAGTTCTATGTCTTATGCCATTGAGTGCCTACCTCATCGTGTCCAACGAGTGCCCCATCTTTGACTATGTTAGGTAGATGTTGTGTCATATGTAGCTAGGATGCCACGTCGAACAACAACTTGATATGTAGTCTCATCCTCTCGAGTGCCATGTCATATGCTACCAAGTGCGATGTCGTATGCCACCGAAAGTGCCTCATCATGATCATAGGGGCACGTCATTGCCTATGTCTCATCCATTGAGTGGCACATCATTGCCTACTTCTAGTGCTACTACTACTTCTACAAAGTGGTGTTGGTACCCTGGCGAAACCTTATAGGGGGTGTAAAACAAGCTTGGAGGACTTTGTAATGGGCTTGTAGTGTGACCCCGCCAAGCACCTAGGTATCATCGGTTCCTCCCCGTGCACCGCCTATTCGTTTCCCTCCCAAAATTAGATCGCGATCCGTCCGGGAGCCCCGGCCTTTGCCTCCATGAGGACTTTGTAATGGATCACTGTTTAAGAAAAGAAAAAGGGGTTAACAGAGTTTTGATCTTGCCATATGTTACATCACAAATTTATAATTTTCTTTTACTTATAACATAAGTATAAACATTGTTTTCGGTGTAGAAATAAAAACACCTATAGTCCGGACAAAAAGCTTGTTGAGTTGCTTAGTGGCTTCTTACAAAAATGCTCTGATTATATTCGTTTTTCTTTCAAAATCAAATTTAGCTAATTTTGAATGATTTTTTAATTTTGACTCGTCTCGTTAAGCTTGCTATGACATTGCATCACAAACAAATCCATAGACTATAATAAATAATAATCTTCTCATGCCAATGTGAGTGTACTCGTACATGTGCTTGTACCGGGCTCCGCTAAAAAATTGCAACATGTGTGGGCTCCCTCTCACGTCCTCATTGCTGTAAAAATAATAATAAAAAAACCGGTTGGGCAAAAAAGAAAAGGAGAAAATAAAACTAAACAGACCGTTCACTGGACACAAGGCCAAGCGCGGGAGGAAAAATTTTGATCCACCAAAAACACGCTCAATCTTGGGCTAAATTCGCTGGACCTATATAAACGAGAGGCTCAATTCTCTGCGTTAGGGTTCTTTCATTTTCCAATCGGCCCTTGACCCGCTCCCGCATTGCAATTGGTTCCGGCGCCCGCCAAGGCCAGCTCAAATCGAGTGGCCCGACCTCCACCGTTCGTTGGTCCTCCACTCTCTGTGAAGTTGTGCCCCTACACTCCACGAAGGTGAAAAGACTAGAGATTGGGAGTGAACCTGTGTGCCACGCACCGTCCCGTCGCGGCCGCCAGCAACCTGTGAGGGCCATGACTACTTAACCTCCCGTCTCCATAGAGAACTGCTTAACCTCCCGTTTCCAGATCACGCGTATCCCTCCCCCTCCCCCAATTATATCGTGATCCGTCTCCCTGGACCACGTGAGGGCCATGACGCTGACGCCTATGCCACCTCGATGCAGACAGATGCCCCCGACATCGCTCTGTTGAGGACGCCATCGGCAATGCCTTTAGGGGGCGGGCGCCGATTCATCAGGCGCGGCGCCCGCCAAAGACAGACTCCACCGCCTTGGGTACCCATCGCCATCGATATCTGAGGCCACCTCAAGTAGAAGATGATCTTGGGTTCTCTTCTCCATATGTCCCTGTGTACAATGATTACTTAATCTAGGTTTTTGATTCATATTTAATCTCGCATCACAGCAAATTCTACAAATTGTGAGGGGTTTAGGGTTTTCAAGCATTTGCTGCTTGCATATTTTGGTCATGATAAAAAAAGATGTTTAAGAAAAGGCATACTTGCTCGGTATTTGTTTTGCTTGTCTGAAATTACAGAAAGTAAACCCGTCTGTTTCGATTCAGGAATACAAAGTATGAGATCATTTTCTATGCTTAAATATCAATGTTTAACTACACAAAAATGTATGGATGTAGTTAACCTTTTTCTGCATCAGGCATTGAATTTCTCATGTTGCATGTGCCTGCTCTATAATGGGATTACAGAAACCATCTAAAATAGAATACTGAATTCAATGATATTTAGTTCAATTTCTTATATATATGTAGTACTTTACCTTTTTTATTCTTGTTTATTTATCAACCATTGTCCTATTTATGCAGTGACACGGGCAAAATGTGGACTCTTTATGTTCATTGCAAGAATGGACTTCCAGATCAGGATTATGTAATGTTCAAATTGGAAAGGCCTCATATAAAATTGTCAACCTTGACATCTCTGAAGGACCAGCTTGGGAATAATGACCGGGACTTCTTGTACTACAAGAAGCATTGTGGAAGAGATGTTGCAAGTCTTCAACCCCTCGATTTTGTTAGACATGCAGAGATTATGCTACAAGACAATGAGAGTGAGAAGGAAATCAGATTAGTACTCTCAAAGGAACAAGAGACAGCACAACAAGTCAGCATAACACCCCTCAAGCGACCAAGGCAGTAGCTGGAAGAAGATGAGCATCCGTTTATGGATGATCCTTTTGATGCATACAAGGACTGGCTAAAGAAGCTATGACCCGAACAATCCAAAAGTATATCATCTATGTTTTTGCATATGTTTTCGTATTAAGCAAAATCTTAGCACCTTTATATAAACTACACCTCATCTTACATTTTTGGTGACTAATGATTTGAAGGATGACACTAGGCAACAAGCGATCCAACACGTACAAGGAATTTTTAAGGATGAAAGGGACATTCCGAAATTAGTAATTTACTTTCCTTCTTCAACCAATGTTGTTTAGTACTAATTTTTTAAAACTGAACCTTTAACCTTGTGTGCAAAGTGGCATTTGTCGAGCAATGTGTGACACCGATGCAATCGTGAGATTAAACGACGCGAAAGCAATGGAAGCAATGCGACACCACCCTCAAATAGGCCAAGCCATGCAAGGAAGGCAAGAGATGAGGGAAACGGTTTGTGATAATGCATGTACTTTTAATATTGGGTTCACATATCTTAATTGAGAACTACTACAGCTCAAGATTGTTATTGTCTTTTTTGCAAGGACATGGCTCCAATGAACGCAAGAAAAGAGGTCGTGGCACTGTTAAAGGATTAACAGTAGGCAACAAGAGAGTTAAGGAACGCATTCACACACTCCCAATCGAATTTTCAGAAAGCCGTGGAGGACCCATTGGACCGAATACCCGTGCATTTGTCGATGAGGTCGTTATATTTACAAGGCAATGGGCCCCACTAATTGGAGTAAACAGTTGGAAGGATATAAAGGAATAAGTCAAACTAGAAATTGCAGAAGAGATACTGGTATGATGTGTACTATTTTTTGTTAAGGAACATTGCTGTTGCTCTTTTACTGTCCAAAAAAGTGAGTGTACAGATGTAGAAATTGTGATGTTGACATGTTGATTTATGCTAATGTCATTGTACTAACCTAATGAATTTATCCCTCAGATGCTATTAGATTTCTTTTCTTGATTGTTTCTTTCCTCATGTTGCTTCATTCCCAGCCATTGTGCCTTTTAGTTTAGATTTCAGCTGAAAGCATATTCTGTAAACCCTTCCCAATGTATACAGAAAAAGGCATGTTCAGTTAACCTCTCAAAGGAGAGTTATTTCTATGACTTTAGGATAGTGTTTGATCATTTATTTGACAAATTGGATGTGTGAAGCGAAGTGGATGATTTAGCTTTGTCATGTAGTATGTTTCATTAAATAAGTTTATTTCAGGCTCTCCAACTAGGATTAGTATTGTTGCACTAGATGATTAGTACTGTTGCACTAGCATGAAATTTTTTAATTTTTATGATTTATTTTTTCTACACGCCACCTTAGCGTAAGCACGGGCATTATACTAGTTCTGATAAAACATTTCATTGCTTTTTAATTGTAAACAGCTTAGGTGGAACTTCATCAACATTGATGATGTGGATAAAAGAAAAGAGAAAATATGGAAAATTGCCAAGGAGCGAGACAGAGGATGGCGATCGATCCGAGTGCCACATACAAGGCTTATAATAGTTATGGTGAGAGGATACTGAAATAAACCCAAAGAAATACACCTTTTGAGTGGCACTACTTGCAGTTGTATTTTGGATCTAATAAATTCAAGGTCGGTGCTAGTAAAATCTACTTTGTCAAACAAAATTGATGGACCAGAGTTGCATTGTCACATACCACTTGTTCTCATTCTGCAGAAACTTAGCGCCAGTGAACTCCTCCAACCGTCGTGACAAAGAACCAAGCATGTGATGGGTTCAAAGAACTTCTCACAATGTAGCTTTGAGCTGGTAATCATTAGATACACTAATCTAGTCCTTCCTTGTATGATGCAATACTTGTGTGCTGAATTTTTTTGGCATCCTAGAGAGACCAAGAAAGCGGTGAAGAGCCAAGTGATCTTCTTTGGAGGACCACTCACACAAAACATGGCGCATGGTCAAATCTGTATCGCTTTTTAGTATATGTAAGTAAATGTTTACGTCAACCTTTTTTATAGTCACTTTGGTAGTGTCAAGCAACTCTTTACATGTTCTGTTATTTAATTTAGGAAAATGCAACCATGAAAATTGGTGAGATTGGATTAGAACCTGATAGACCAGCACTTACAACTGTTGAGGAGAACATGATTTTCCAGTCATGCTACAAAGAAACAACACAAATCAAATCATCCAAATTACATGGGCATGGATATTTGGCTATGTATCGAACTCGCATAGAACTTATGAAAGAGAACCTTGAAGTACATGCACATGCTCAAGCTGTAGCTAGGGAGAAGAGCATTGCTTTAGAAGCGAAGGTTGACAAGCTCAAAGAACAGATTGCGCAAGAAGCTGCAGAAAGGGAAAGGGACAAAGAAGAAAATAGGAGGAGGATGCAAGAGGAGCTGGAAAATGCTAAGATAAACTTAAGAGAAGAAATGAAGCAAGAATTTCTTAATATGCTAGCACATCACAAAGAAGGAGCTATGATTATGGTATTAGAATAATTTTTTATCCTTTGTACTCTTGATAATCTTATGATTGTGATGCCTAATCTTTCACCCCCAATATTTGTATGTATAGAGTACCCTGCAAAACAATGCCAGTACACAAGTTGCACCAATCATAGAAGAGGAAGATGAGACCGGTGGACTTGAAAATGAAAATGAAGATGGGTTATAGGAGGTAATGACATTATTTCACTATGTTCCATGTACCTTGAACTGTAGCTAAAATAGATCAAACAACTTGATGTTTGTAGACTCAGCCTAGAAGCATTGTCACCATACAAAAAGCTGCACCAGCACCTACTCGCTCCACTAGAAGTACTGCACCTCCCAGCAGAGCTCTTTTCAACGAAAACACTGCAAATGTGACTGCATCGAAGACATATATCACTTCACAGCAGCTGATGAATAGGACAAGAAATAATCCCAAAAGGAGGAAGGTAACAACCAGCTAATTGAAATCTAAATTCTTGCATGATTTAATGAAATTTTATCAAATGCATGCTTTTCAATCCCAGCATAAACTCAAAGTCATTGTTCAATCATAAGCATCTTCTTTCTGTTTCTATTTTTTGATAACTGAATTGCACAGTAATATATTGGAACATACTTTTCATCATCTGATATCACTGATAAGGATAATGTGGCATGGCAATTAAATGGAGAGGATAAAAAGGTTTAAATAGTTGAAGAATAGTACGATGAACTATAATCCTTTCATCTGTAGGAAATGATACAAGAGAAGTTTGATTAAAAGGAAGTTATCAAGAAAGGTTGTGTCCATGGTAAAATTTGACAGTTCCTAGTACCAAGCCTGATGAACTAGTTCTCAACATCTCAACTACTCAACTATAGAAAGCTTCCAATTAATCAAATTATGAAATCGAATCAGTAAGTGAGAAAACCATTTACTCTTCCTAATTGGATAACAGAGGGTTTTATCTGTAATACATCTGTCACACTAAATGCTAAGAATTACTTCATTAGTATGTATACAGAACATTTGATAACAACCAGCTAATTGGAATACAGAACTTTTGATAATACAAAAGTTGTAGAGGGTTTAGAGATGTTTGTCGTCGTGAAAGGTCATGATTTTAGACCTAGAGAATTAGAGTTATAAATTTTGAAAGTAGCCGGTCAGGTTTTGACCTTGGTCTGGACAGCAGTAGGTGTTTGTGTTTTTTGACCATGATAACTGCAGAATCTTATTTAACAAATAACTAGAAAGATGTAGAGAATTTCATGGGCTTTCTGTATTGTTAAAGAATATAATTTTTTGTTGTCTACAACTCAAGTTATGATTTTTCTAATCAACTAAACTGCTGCTGCCTTAAAAATTCAGAGAAGGCAGCTGCTACTGTAACATGACTTCCATCTTTTTCATGGAAAAAGGAATTGCAGCAACTAGACCGACAACATTTGCCTCATTTGCAGAATTGCAGTTGAACTTCAACTATGCAAAAGCTTGGTTGATGGCTTTTGTATATGAAATTAGAAATTAGAACCATTTTATATCTTCATCTCTTTACATTTGTGCAAAAATTAGTAAACTTAATATTGTTCTAATATCCCAATCATATTCTTTTGGCAGTAGGTGGACAAGGTTTCAGTGGGAGGCTCATAATCAAGCGAGGACATAGCCGAGGAGATGACATGTTGGGCTGCTAGAAATTTCTCAAGTGCTGCATAGATGTTAGGAAGTTTGTAAAAAGTTGTCAAATAATGAGTTAATTGTACACTCGTCTATGATTTTATCTACTATTTCATGGGTTTGGCAACATATTGAATGATTAATTATAATTAATATATGTGGGTGCAATTGCTTTTGATATGGTTTATTGATTTGCAATGATGATTTATTAAACCAAAATTAAATGTTACTAGCGTTGCAATAAAAGTTATACCTACGAGCCGTGATGCGTGGCAATATGCTGTATGGCAACAAACTTATTTACGTTGCAAATAATACTATTGCCACGACATGACTATTGTTGCAATAACAATTAATCTTCCGCAACGAATAAAATTGCGTGGCAAATTCTACTGTTGCAACGGCACCGAGGTCATGGCAATAATGAACGGTATATCGCAACGAATAAAATTGCGTGGCAAATGATACTGTTTCAACGGCAACGCGGCTGTGGCAATAATGAACGGTATCTCGCAACGGATAAATTTGCGTGGCAAATGATACTATTGCCACGCCAAGACAAGCGTGGCAATAATGTATACTCTCTCGCAACGATTACATTTGCGTGGCAAATGATTTACTTCCCACGTCACAACGGTCGTGGCAACAACACCTTAAGCAACAAATTATAGCGTGGCAACAAAAATCTATTGCCACACTATTTCTCGTTGTATTTACCACCTCTCGCTACGAAGACAAACGTGGCAAGTGCTCGTATTGCCACGCCAATGAATGTTGCGATAACGTCCTATTGCAATGATTGGCAACGTTGCAAGAAAAGCTAACTCTTGCAACGCCAAACTAGCAACGGTTGCAAGTTCTTATTGCAACATGACTTTTTGCAACCATTGCCAACGAACGCGATTTCATGGTATGAACTACCTTTTGCAACAAAATTGGGCCTATTGCAACGTTTTCTCGTCATTGCGCAAGGGTTAGAAGTTTGTAGTGATCCCTAACTCCTGGCACATCGAACACCTCAGGCATTTCTGTCCTTGAGACATCCTACTAAGATATGTACCCCTTATGTATTTATGCATTTCAATAATGATTTTCTCCATAATTTTCCTCCAATTATCTTTTGTTTTTCTCCATGATAAACATCTTTAAGATGATGCTTTCTATCGCCATTTGATTCGCCAACCAGCCACGTTCTCATTCGCGTTATCCAGAAGTAGTCCTGTTCTAGATTCAGCACCTAAACGTGCATGGGCAGTAGCGCTCTATGTCATGGGCGGTCGGTAGCGACTCCTCAGTGTTGCCTATATTCCTATGTGTGCACAGGAGCTAAGCTCTTTACGCCATGGGGTGTGGGATAGCCAGGGCTGATAACAAGATAAAGGACTAACAATGCATCGTTAATATTAAATATTAACACTTTATATGTACTAAACACTAAAGTTTCATTTAGAACTACTCGGCATAATGCCAAAAAGCCCGTTACATTCTAAGTTGTCATGGTTCATTGTCAGCATCGCCAAACAGATCCATGTTGTCCGCCAGTTTGATCGCCAAATCGGACACCTCCTCCAGCGCGGTGATTTGCTCATCGCTCAGATTTTGAGCAAATCCACCATCAATTTGTTTGAGCTTCACTGAGGGGTAGACTGACCGGACAACCGCCAGTGCATGGCCTGTGGCAGAACAAGTGATGCCATGAGCATAGTGCTTAAAGTTCTCCAGCGCTGACTTGCACCTCTCCACGATGATGTCCAGCCATGGTGCTCTGTTGGGCTCTGTCACTTCTTGGTCGATGAGATCCAGCATGGGTTTTATCCCATTGGAGATGGTCTTCAACTTTTCTTTATTGGCCTCCAGCCGGAGCTCGAAGTCGTGGAACTGCGCCTGACTATTAGTTTGGATCACTACAGACAACAAGGGCAATCATCTTAAACATGTTTCCCATAGCAAGAGGGGTATTGACATAAGGAATAACTTATGGTTAAGTTCTTCGGCGAGTTGTTCTTTCGCCGTCAGAGCTTCATCTCTTTCTTTCTTTGCTAGCACTTTGGCTTCATGCGCTAGTAGAGCTTGGGTCTCCGCCTCCACCTTGGCATCACGACGTCAGGCGTGCTTCGGTCTCCGCCCGTGTCTTCACTTCATCAAGCTCTACACCAATGAAAGATTACTACCAGCATGGGTGAATTGAGGATATGAAAGTAATACACCAATGAAAGATTCGTCAGCTCCAGTTCTCTACCTCCAGTCATGTCTTTTCTGCTTGCAACTTCTCAGGGTCGGTGTGCGCTTCAACCAGCATCTTCTCTAGAGTCTCCATAGACTCACGGAGCCTCTAGTTCTTAGAAATTGATGGAGCCACCTAGTTTAGCTGGCACGCGTGGTTCTCAGAGATCTTCATTAGCTCCTGCGGCAAACAATAGTTAACTGGAGTAATCTCCAACTTCAATTGGTCGTGTAGACTAACTTACTTGAATCTAGCCAGACACTGATGGTAGTGCTGCCCTGAGCTCCTTCACCTACTCACTCACCTCCTCATCCTCCACCACCTCAATCATATCTTTGTGGCACATGAAGGTCCGCAAAAGCTGAGGAGGAGGATCCTAGGTATTTGGCGCATCACACTCAATTTCTTCAATCACCTTGGGAGACTCCCTCACCTGCCTTGGTGCCCAGTCAGCTTGTGGTAAGACATCGGGGCCAAGATCCATTACTAGCATTTGAGCCCGAGGATTAGCCCTTGGCTCTGGGCGATTGGTCGGCTCAGTAGCAACATCTTTATTCATTTACTCCGGGTGCTCGGGGACTTTGGCTCGGGGACCAGCCTTGTTTTTGGGTATTTCTCGTGTTTCTTCTGGCTGTCCCACCCCAGCACCCTGAGCACCAGCGGTCATGGCACTCGGCTCGGCGTCCTGCTGAGCATCGCCAATGTCGATTGGGTGAAGTTCCTCAGTCGACACTTCACTACAACATGATGTTGTATCATCAACACTTCCACTTTGGTTATGCTTGGACTAAGTCTAGGATAGAGACACTTACTCATTGGATTGCCTGCATGCATCTCTGAATGTCCAGGGCCTGTTGGAGCTCCCCTGTCCTTTAGTTGCCGGCACAAATCTTGAGAACACCGGAGGTAGCCGGTTCGCCTCCGGTGCTTCTGACCTTGCCGAGGTGGCTCTCCCAGCCAAAGCCCCTCATCTAGGCTCGGGGACTTCACCCCGAGTGGATCTCTGGTCGACGGCTGTGCCTTGGGCTATCCGGTCAAAGGCTCTAGCGGTCGGTGTTGGAGTTGTCATCCGCATAGCTCATTACTGCAGCATCTCGCTTGTGTTTTCATCATCATTCGACCAGTCTGCGATGACTTGTCGGCGTGCTGAAGGCTCTCTAATCGAGATTCCACCCCTATTGCATGGTTGTAGAGTGTTCGGTTTTTTCTTCTTCATCGACTCTGCTCGGGCCGGTTGTTTCCTATGTGACGGCTGCCGATGCCTAGGAGTTTCCTCCACCATGTCTTCGGATGAGGACGATGTGCTGCTCTCCGAAGGAGGACTAGCCAGAGCTTGGGTTGCATAGGCATCTACACTCTTTCGGCTAGGTCCCATCCATCATGTCGGAGACATACACAACACGATCCTGTCCACAAGTTTTCAAGAAGACATTTCAACATCAACAAGATTTGACATTACAAGGACTGCCAATGGTACACTCTCTTTTCTAGTGGTGGTGGATTCATGATGCTGTATGCCACTCGCTGCTCCGTGTTGCTCAGTTTGGTGTTACTTGAAAAGAGCTCTAGGAGGCGAATATAGGCGTCGCCCTTATTTTTCTTCTTGGGGCTTCCCGAGCGGTATCTTCATCACCTGTATATTCTTACGCGGGGTGGAACCTCTCCTTGCTTGGCTAGATCTCGGCATACGATGAAGTTGATGGATACACCAACTCCATCAAGATTGTTACGCATCTAACCCAAAATTTGTAGAAGCTCATCGACCTGGGTCATCTCTAAACTGGTCGGTCTTGCCAACCAGTTTGCGCTTGGAACTACTAAATGGTCTATGTCGGCCGATAGGCTTGGTTCAGCATTTTGAATATAGAACCACTTA